GACCACTGAGCCATCTCACCAGCCCCAGATTGAAACTTCTTAACTTGAAAGGCAATCCATTTTCTATGGGATGAACCTTCATGATTTAAAGGGTAAATTCAGTGAGGTGAGCTCTTCTGGAATCCAAGGTGACCATCGATTTAGGGCAATGGAGACTTCCTGATAAGGATGTTCTCAGTTATAAAAGGTGATAAAATGGGCCAGGTGCAGGGATCTTTTTGTCTCTCAGTTGTTCCCCAAAGAAAACAGGGAGAGGATTAGAGAAAACAAAGACAAGAGATAATACCTGAGGTCAGGTGGAAGACCAAGCCTGATAGGTAAAAGCTCTCCAAAGAATAGTAAGGGCCTTTATTGATACCTTTACAAAGTTTCAAAACACAACATTGCCTAGTGACTAATAGCCCACAAAGTCCAGGCAGCCTGTTTTTCTGGAGACTGAAGTAGCTTGACTGCTTTAGGCAATGAGGCCTCACCCTGCCCTCCCACATAAGACCAATTTCAGCTTCAGGCTCCCAACATCCAGGTAAATTTAGAGCTAATAAACCTTGCTTTTCCATCATTTAGATAGAAACTCCCTAAATGAATAACATTCCTACATGCAGAGCTGAGGTTTGAAAACCAGACTTTATAAAATGAAGGTCAAGCTTTGTTATACTTTCAGTTACCTTCTGTTTCACATTTACAGGCCCAAGTGAAGTCTTATTTATTTTATCTATTTATTTATTTATAGCAAAAACCACTTTAAGTTCCTGATTTCCTCATAAGAATATGAAAAAAGAAAATGCAAATTATGGTTTTGATGAGTATCTCGGTTACTCTTCTCTCATTGCTGGGACAAATACCTGACACTCAAAATTAGGGAAGGAAAGGTTTATTTAGCTCAAATCATAGTTGCTGGAGGTTTCAGTCCATACTCAGCTGCTCCAAGGCAGAGTGGCACAGGGCAGAGAGCAGCCAGCCATTCCTGGTGGCTACAAAGAGCAAGAGCTCAAAGGAAGAAACAGCAGCTCCAGCAGCTAGGAAGCCTCTCTTGCCTCCTCACATTGTAATGCAGATGTATCTGCCCAAGAACACTCACACCCATAATCCTAGCATTGTATTTTTTTAAATGTATTCTAGTACAGGGTCTATAGGGTCTTAGTACACAGATTGGACTAGTAGTGATCCTCCTGTTTTTAGCTTCCCAAGCACTGGGATTATAGGTGCATGCCACTATGCCCAGTCTCAGTTGCCATCTAAGCACACCCTGGGGGCAGGGCCAGCATGGCCCACCAAGGATTGAACCCCAGTTGCTGAGTCTGCCTAAGCAGGTGCTTGAGCATAATCCCAGCTTTGGATCAAGAATCAATGACAAACTTCAGAAGCCTCCCTATGACTGCATGAAGCTTTGGGGGAACAACTAGACACAAATCATAACAATGAGTAACAGGTTAATGCTCCAGGAGTTTTTTTTTTTTTTTAATCCCTGTGGTAGTCTCTGGCTATGTTATACTGTAACAAAAATGCTTCCCCACAGCCAATATACTTCAGTTTCCTAGTTGCCTAGGTAATAGCTCCTATTCCAGTTTCCAATGTTTCTGTCTCTTAGAAATGGCTGGTCACTCTGATGCACACTGTATGAACCATTCCCCAACTGACAAGCTATTCTGCCTCTTTTCCCTGTTTGCTTATCCCATATAAGCTCTAAACAACCAGAGATCAGGGCCTGATATTCTGGGAATGATTACAGTCAGTGGCTGTTGACATAAATAAATTTGCCTGAAAGTCCTGTGTGTTGTTTTGGTGTTTCTGTATGCTGTTGTATTTGGTGCATCAGCTGGGAAGATCGACCATGCTGACCTCTTTAGTCACTAGCTAGGGCCCTCACAGACAGAGCAAAGACCTCTCCAAGTCCTGACAGGAAGGCATGCTCTCAAAATTTCTCAAGTCCCCCTGGAGGTCTGGAAGAGGAATGCTGGCTCCCTGTCTGAGCAGCTAATATCAGACCCAAAAGAAGGACACAGTCTGTCTCTCTGTCTATCTGTCTACCAGCCTACCTAATTCTGGTAAGACCCCTGAGGACACCTCATATAGTCTGTCTATCCGCCCTGCTCAACTTGAGCATAAGGGGAGTCTGATCAACTTCCACTAGTCATGACCACCTTCTAGGGAAGGGGATTTGAATGTTTGAACCTCTAAGTACCTGTCGAATGGACGTGTAAGTGGCATGGACAGCATCACAATAGGTTGCTCTGTCTGTGCACCAAGACTGGGAAGCACTGCTCAGTGTGGTTGATTGGGTTCTCACCTGCAGGTCCATGGTGATCAACATATGGCATAACAGAGGCCTTGCACCCTCCTTAGTCAAAACAAACCTAAGTTTCTGAGAGGGGCATTGCCAGGTGAGCACGTGAATGGTCTCTCTCTGAGGGGCACCCCTCCTTTGTCTGTTGCATGATCATTTGAGGGTACACAAAACAAATAAAAAGTCAGAGATGGGAATTAATTAGTCAAAACTCACAGCCCCTGATTGCAGAAAAAAGGGATTTTTTTTTTGAGATTACAGAGTTAAAAATGAAATCAGTCTGCTCCCTGCATCTCAAATAAATCTTTAAAAAAGGAAAAAAGAGGCCCATTGTTCCCGAGAATCCCACCTTGGCATCCTCATCAGTCACCACAGTTGCTGCCCATAATTTCACACCCTGGCCCCTGCTCCTGACTTGTCTACTTCTAGCTAACTGAAGTGGTTGCACCTAGCCTTTGTCTTCATTCAGTAACAGATGCCCTTCCCACCCCAAACCTTCTGCTTCACAGCAATGTCTATCCTGGTCAGATGGCATCATCTAACACCCTTCCGAGATGACTGTCAGCACTTTCTTCTGAGTTCCACATTTTGACTGAGTCCCTTAGGAGAAGATGGCACTTCCATCAGCCTGAGACAGATAACTTCAATCCTGAAATTCTGAAAATTCTCCTCCCAGAGATATGAACTAAAGACTGGCCTTCAGGCCTGGAAACCAACTGTGACACCTCACCTTGACCCCCATTGTTGTCAGATGTCATGGGAAGCACAGTCAGGCATCCAGCCACACAACAGTCTGATTGACTGTAAATCATCTTGGACAAGATCTCTGTGTCCATCACAGTTCCTCTAGAAAGAAAAAAATGAAGCTTCAAAACTTTGAAATATCAAACTGCTAAAATGCACCTTTCCTGACTATAAAGCCAGTTCATGATCTCAGAGCTTCCAGTGCCACCAGGATTGCCCTCCATATATGTTGTCTCATTTTTCTGCCACCCACAGCCTGCTGGTATACCTGGACCTAAATGCTTTCTTCTGCCTTCAGTTGGCTCCTGTCAGCCAACCCCTCTTTGCAAATACCCCAGTTCTTGACTCAAAGGTTAACTGACCTGACCCTCTCAGAGGTTCAAAACCTTGTTTACCCTCTTTGGAAGAAGATCATTATACTTATTGATGACATCCAAGATTCCTGCTCAAAAAGCACAAAGGCTCTGCTACAATATCTGGTAGAAACTGGTTAAAAGAAAAAAGGTTAAAAAAAAAAAGAAGAAAGAAAAAAAGTTTGCAAATTTCTTAGAGCTGCTGGCTTCTATAAAATCTGGAACCTAGGGCTGGGGAGATGGCTCAGTGGAATAAATGCTTCCCTGGCAAGCACAAGGACCTGAGTTCAATCCCTGGTTCCACCAAAATAAATAAATAAATAAATAAATAAACCAAAAAATAAATAAATAATATAAAATCTGGATCCTCCCCCACCTTCGGCACCAGAGATTTAACTCAGGACCTTGCACTTGCCTGGCAAGCACTTATTCTTCTGAGCTATCTCCCCAGACCCTAAAATCTGGATCCTTGAGTTCACAAAAACAATGATCCTTTCTCAGACTGTCAGGCCCTGAGAGCACCCACTGGCTGACCTGCACAAACACTTGGATCCAGTGACTAAGGGCTCCCTCCCACTTTTGCCTCCATGTTGTAAGAGATATTGTCCTTCTGATCAAGAAATCTGACAGGTCACCTCACAGAGGCCTAACTGTCCAGGTACCACATGCTGTACTGAGATGAACTGTTCTGAAAATGGACCCCTGACTGATGCTGAGTACACCCTGTTTACAGATGAAAGTAGATCTCTTAGGAATGAAGTCTATATGCTGTCATCACCTTGGACAAACCTATTTTGGCCAAAACTCTCCTGCAAGGATGATTGGTACAACAAACTGCCTCCTGCTGCTATTTGGAAATCTGCCACCAATGATGCACAATAATTTGGTCCAGATACCTAAGCCACCTTCAGGGATCTGATTGCCTGAAACATTAATCCCAGCCACCAGACCTGCGCCTCTGTATGTTCTGTAAGCTCAAGCCCTGGTATCTATAACCCTGCAACCAGAGTTATAGGAAGTACAAGAAAATACTAGAACAATCAATCAAACACTTAACTGAGGTTTGATGAGTGACCAAGGCACACTGGACACTCTTAGATCAGATCAACTCTCTCACTATCTTGCTGAAGTTACGTTACAGAATACACAGGCCTAAATTATGTCTCTTCCTAAAAACAATTTGGGAAAAAAACTGTAATAAGACAATCTTGGGGAACTTGGTTAGGGCCCATCCTAGGATCACTGACTACTATAATGTTACTGCTTCTAATTGGGCCTTGTCAGAGCATCACATGTAGGATGCCCAGCAAAGATTTGCAGTGGAAACTAAAGGAGTGGCAAAATGTTAACAGAAAATGCTCCCCACCCCCATCCAGCCAGTATTCTTTAGTTTCTTAGTTGCCCAGGTAGTAGTTCCTGTTCTAGTTCTGGTTGCTTCTGTCTCTTGGAAATGGCTGGTAACTATGATGCACAGCTAGTTACCGTGATGCACACTGTATAAGCCAATCCCCAACTGACAAGCCATTCTGCCTCTGTACTTCCTGTTTTGTTATCTTGTATGAGCCCTAGATCATCAGAGATCAGGGTCTGATATTCTTGGAATAATCCTGATCAGTGGCCTTTGACATAAATAAATCTGCTCTAAAGCCTGGGTGTTGTTTCAGTCTTTCTGCTTGCCATTACAATAGTTATGTCATTATTAGTCTGGGCCCTCTGAGAAACAAAAGTGGAATTCAAATGCAAAGATTTTGTAAGAATAAATATCCATGAGAAAAATGGGGCTGGGCATGGTGGTTCACATCTCTAATCCCAGAACTTGGGAAGCAGAGGTAGGATTGCCACGAGTTTGAGGCCAGCCTAGGCTATACATATTGTGCTCAAGACCAGACTTGACTACATAGCAAGAGTCTGTCCAATGCTCCCCACCCTCTAAAAAGTGGAAACAGGAACTAGGGAGGGCTGAGAGAGCAGGAAGACTGAGTTGCAAGTATGATTCTGAGGGGAAGAGAGAGACAAGCAAGGTCTTGTAGAGCCATTATTGATGTCCTGCAGTCTAAGGAAGGTTCAACAAGAGTCATTAAGTTCTTGAGCCAAAGAAGCTAATTAAAGTCTCATGTCTCTGAAAAATGGGTTGCCTTAGTAGCCCTGCTATATTCAGTAACTGAGCCAAACTTGGTATTGTGGTGCATGCCATAATCCATCAACTCAGGAGGCTGAGGCAAGAGAGTTACAGGTTGGAGGCCAACCTAGGCAATTTAACAAGATTCTGTCTCAAAATTTAAACATGCTCAGGATGTGGTTCTTGTGTAGCATGAATGATGCCCTAGGTTCAATTCCCAGTACCAGACACACACACACACACACACACACACACACACACACACACTCACACAGACCACCTCCAAGGAGCTTCAAGGAATTCTGATTTCAGTATAAACATTTTGATGGATCTCACAGAGCCACAGCTGAGTCAATTATTCTTTTTCTCCTCCTCCTCCTTCTATTCCTCTTCATCCTTCTCTTCCTCCTCCTCCTCCTCCTCCTCCTCTTCTTCTTCTTCATCTTCTTCTCCTTCTTCTTTTTCCTTTCTTCCTCTTCCTTTTCCCCTCCTCCTCTGCTTCCTCTTCTTTTTCTTCTTCTTTCTCTCCTCCTCCTCCCCCTCCTCTTCCTCCTTCTCCTCTTCCTCTTTATTGCTTTGTTTTTTGAGGCAGGATCTGGCTATGTAGTCTAGGCTTGTCCTCCTAAGCTTCTAAACTTGTAGTGACTCTCCTGCCTCAGCCTCCTGAGTGCTATGCAAGCATGCACAATCATGCCTGGCTTACTCCTGCTCTGATGTGTTACTTTGAAAGCTAAGTGTTTAACTATGTGTTTCTAATTGTTCCATAGCATCCTACTCCCTTTCTAGGAAGAAATTTACTAGCAAAATTGTGTGTGTGTGTGTGTGGGGGGACTCTCAAATTCAGGCAAAGGCCAAAATGGATTTTATCTATTTGGAGTACACTAGGTCTCCCTGACCTAGTTAGCCAACTGGTGGATCCTGCTGCATGGTATAATGCAATACCCGACTTAAGAAAACCCTTCTTTCTCCACACATCAGAACAGAAAGGAACTAGTGTTCCAAGTCAGTTGTCTTGACTGAATGGTTAGGAAAGAAACTTAGAGGTCCCACATTCCCATCAGGTCACAGTGATTCTTGAGGCCAAAACTTACTTGTGGTTAACGGGGGAATGGTTTACCAAGTGTTAGGTCATGCTATTAGACATCACTGACGTTGTTATAAAAACTTGCACTACTCTTTTTTTAAAATTGTTGTTTGAGACAGGCTCTCTTTTGTAATTCAGGTTCACCTTAAACTCACTATGTAGCCCAGGCTGGCCTCAATCTCATGTCAATCTTGCTGTCTCAGTCTCCCAAGTGCTGGGATAACAGGCATGTATCACCACCCCTGGGGCATACTCCACTCTTAGTCCGGTCTCCCTGATGCCCAGAGGCCCAGAAGTCAGTCACTCTTGTGAGTGAGTGATCGCGTAGACTTAGGCAAGCTGGCAGAACATCAGTGACCTGCCCCTCTAAGACCCTAAGGATGTGTGGCTCACTGGTGGAAACAGCTTTGTCTAAGAAGGACACTGAAGGCAGGTTATGCAGCTGTCAGTTCACAAGAGCTCACAGAGGCTAAACCCTTTCTCCTTGGGACTTCTGTTCAAAAACTAGAAGTGATACCTCTTACTTGGCATTGATATTAAGATACTGCAAGAAGTGATGCATGTACATAGATTCCAAATATGCTTTTCTGGTGCTATATGCCCATGCTGCAATCTGGAAAGAAGAAGGGTGCTGACTAATAGGTAATCATCTATAAAACACAAGCAAGAAATTCTACAACTTTAAGAGGTAGTCTGTTTTCCCAAGAAGGTCACTGTCATTCACTACAAGCGTTCCAACAGAGACATGTCTACAGTCTAAGATGTTAAGCAAAGTGGCACATGCCTGTAATCTCAACATTTGGATGGTGAGGCAGGAGGACAGCTGAGCAAGTTCTAGGCCAGCTTGGTCTACTTAGTGAACTCAAGGCCAGTCTGAACTTCACAGCAAGACCCTGTCTCAAAAAACAAAAAACAAAAAATTAAAATTAAAAATTAAGTCTCTGGGAAACCAAAAAGGACCAAAAGGTATACAAGAAATGTAGCCCCATACTGGTCCTTACTCAAAGGATGCAGTGACAAGCTATAATAATCCTACATTGGGAAATGGTCAACTAGAATTTTTACAAGACTAAAAAGAAACTAGGACTGGGCATGTTGGTACACACCTGTAATCCTAGCACTTGGGAGGCTGAGACAGGAGGATCACTATAAGTTAAGGCCGGCTTGGGTTTTGGGTTTCATACTGAGTTCAAGGCCAGCCCAGACCCTGTCTCAAAAAATCTGTCCCAAAGAAGAAGGAGGAGGGTGAAAAAGAAGAGGAGGAGGAAAAAAGAGGAGGAGGAGGAGGGGGAAGTAGAGGAGGAAGAGAAGGAGAGGAGGAAGAAGAGGAGGAAGACTATTCCTGAGAACCTCTGGAAGCCCTGAGGCTCCTCTTCAGAAATCAAGACTCCAGTATTGCTCTGGATTCAGATTAAGTAGTCACTAATGACCCTAATTCACCACATCTTAAATGGGAACCTCTATGGAGACTCCTATTTTTAATTAGATCCATTATGTGGGTAATCTTGCAAGGGCGATGGCTCTCAGGTTCTCAATAATTTATCTA